TCGGATGCATACCGATGAAGTGAGCTGTAGCTCACGAAAGCTCATGCTCAAATAAATTGGTTCGTCTCTAAGGTGCCACAAGTACTCCTTTTCATTTTGCAGATTGTTCTCAGGAGACAAGTATAGTAGGGATTTGCCTTGAACAGTTCGGGCCACAATTTCAGAGATGTATTTTTTTTTATTTTAAAGTCTTCTCATTTGAGATTATATTTCAAACGTCTCATTAGCGGGCCGTTCTCCCAGCCAAGATTATGTGTTAAAGATGTAATTTACTGCACGGTCACTTTCCTTTGCTATCAAAAGGTTGACTGGAATGATCAGTTATCATACACGCTTTAGGGAACAATATTTATTTTTAATCTGCATCAAAAATATCCTGTTGGAAAATAGAAACAGTGGAACGTGTTGTCATATGAGATAAAGCATGCAATGCCTGTCGACTTGAATTTTAAAATACGTTTTTCTTGTCTTTGATTTTTTCTCCTGAAATGTTTTTCCCCTGCTAATGCGGCCAGATTCGGCTGGATTTTTCTGATATAATTCATAAATCCAATTGGGTTTGTTTGTTTGAGAAAGGGAGAGACAATCATCAGCGGGGTTCAGGTTTGTCGGGGGGGATTTCAATGACATTTTTATAATTTAACGCAGCTTAAAAGCAGTTTTGTAACCGATTGTAAACATGGTCTTCTTGTTTGTGCAGGATTTGTGCAAAGTATGTTCCTTACATTCCTATTACATTGGGACATCGATTACCAAGAAAGGTAAACAGGCTCACACTTAGGTATTCACAGGTTCTCTTTGTAACAGTTTGATTTGGTTTTCTTTATACTGTGTGAAAGGGAAGGTCAAATCTAATTATAGTTCCTTCCCAGTTCTGGACAGTTTGCAGCTTTGAACCACAAACCCTTTCCCAGTCATTGATATTATTATCTGTAGGAATCGGTTTTCACGAAGATGATTGCTGAATAAAATATAGAGTGTATGGGGAAAGCTGGCGTGGGATCTCAAATCACGTTTATACCAACCGGGCCAATGTTAGCAAACACAGTTTGCTCTTTAGCATCCAAAGACCAAACGAGTGTTTTCAAATATATAGGTGTGTGTTCATGTTTTTACAAATCAAAGGTGGTAGACGGTTATATTTGTTCTTGTTCTGATGATAACCATAGTGGCTTATTTGTTTAGATAATATATTATGTCCCTGCGCTGAGAAAATTATATTGGCGGCTCTTCTTCAGTTTAATAGGTAGTGGGAGAAAAGAGATTTTATATATACAATTTATTTAAGTATGACTGAGGGTTTGCGCTCCTTTTTCTCCCCCTTTACTTTTCTTCTCCAGGGCACAATGGCCTTTAAATGGCCATCAAATTAAAAGATGTCTGTAGTTTCCATGTTAACGCACAAAACGCTGAAGGAAAACAAATCCTTCGGGATGGGATTTATTCCACCAGCTCAGGAAACAATTTGAAATATGCTCTCCAAAAAAGTGACAGAGGTCCCCTCTATTAAAAGCCCCGGTGAGACAGATATACATGTGTGTTTGGTAAAAAGATCAGTCCGATGAGGAGCCCTCATTGGGAGCAGGACATAAAAAAAGAGCGTTGATTACCAAAGTTAGAAAAGCAAGGGAGCGATATATTTACCTGAAGCCGGCAAAATCCTGTCCAGGGATATAACTTCCCTTTTTAGGAGGGTGATTGGAGATTAAAGAGCACAGCCTTCTCCTAAACAACATCGGGCCATTATCTGAAGGATGGTTTGCTTGGGCAGATTCTGGTGTAACAGGATAATTAAAGAGGTGCGAGATAGCTTAAACAAACACACGCACCAACGAGATAGGATTCGGTAGAGAGATTCGTTTTTAGGATCATTATTGTGTTTTACAAACAGGAGATCTGCTAAATTATTATTTTTATCCTGATTATTGCTACGGAAATGTATTTTCACACGGGGTCTAACCAACGATTCATAACTCAAAATCGGAACACAAGTAAATCCCTAAGCATACAAAATTGTCACCCTTTCGGCCAATTCCTTCTGGCAAGAGACAGCGAATTGCACATTCTTTCCTTTAAATTTCGGTTTTCTAATGACTGCTTTAAATCTGGAACTACCTAAAGCCGGACTTCCTGGAACTGCGGCAGGAGCAGTAATGACAATAATACAGTTAGTTGGGTTAAATGATGTAAATATCTGCGCGTTGCTGCATTATCTCTTCCGGATCTGTGATCTCTAATGGAATACATTTCCGCAGAAGCAGGTAAAGTGCAGGGAAACCAGCTGTGGGCATTTGAGACGGGAAATTGACCAGATGTTGTAGCGACACACACAGAGATCCGCTGTCTTTTGTCGCGGCTGACTTTTGTCCTTCCCTCCTTGCAAAACAATATGAACGAAGAAGGGTATTATCGCTAGGTTTAAAGCGACGTGCAGTTAATGCAAGGAGCTTGCCCTTGTTAGTAACAGTGTGTTTTTCCTCCCGGTGTGGCTGGGGGTGGGGGGCGGGTGAGTTAGGTGCTGTTCACTTTGTTGTTGTACTTTGGGGAAATCTTCAGCAGTTCTCCCTGCCCCAACCGCTTTCTCTCGCGTTTGTTCCTCAGTACTTGCCTCTTAAATCACTTTCCAGGGTGACTCCTCAGAGGCTACCCAAAAGCATAGAAGCAATACATCTGGATCTAGGCATTCGGGGGTCACTCCTACTTCACTTTAACGTCCTTCCGGGGTTTTGGTGGTAATACAAGTCAGATATTCCAGGAAGACATCTTTTGACTTTCTATAGCTGAATTTTTATGTGGGGGTGTCACACACGTGTATGCTGGACTGAAAATTCAAATAATGTTAATAAAAGAGCAGCATATTTCAACCGAGTGCCATTAGACAGGCTAAAATATGTAGCCTGCTAGATTGTGGAAAATTCTTCCAGTGGACGTGGCTGGAAGTCCAGGGCTTAACATAGGACGGGATTCAACTTCACAAGGAACAATCCTGCACTGACAAAGGGACAGACTCTCACATAGCAGAAGTTGAGGTTCTGAGTACAGTGCAACACACTTCCTTTTCGATGCCCTGAAGTTTAACTGAGACCTTGTCCCGAGGGAGGGAAGACATACCACCGTTCTTTAAAAATAATAACAACTGGCTGTAACAGCCACACAAGAAGCGACTGCGAAGTTTACAATAGAGCAATGGCTGGTCAGTTTTGTTGGTAGCGACCCGTGTTCACAGTGTACAGATTTATCCATACATGTGCTTGGGGTCGACCTCAGCTCACAAGTCAGGAGAGGCTGAGGGTTTCCGGCAACTCGCAGGATCAGGAGAACTGGGCTTAAGGTACCGAATTTGGGAAAGGCTTAGAAATGATGTGAATCCAGTAGACTTTCTTGGGACTCTCAGGAGGGAAGAGGGGACCTGAGAGAGCCCTCGCTCCTGCTCTTGTTTTAGGATATGGAAACCTCAGTTGAATCATATTGGAGTCCCTAGCGTGTGAATGATGAACACTGCCACGCTGCTGAGGTCTGGGGAAGAGATGGGGGTGCAGCAGCTGCCCTGGGGGGAGGAAGGTGGGAGACTAGAGCCCCCAGGACTCTAAGCATGATATATCAGGGGATCAAAAAGGCAGCGCGACCAGGGCAGGACTTTTCCTCCCGGCACACTGGTGTTTTTTCTGCTTAATACAGAACAAAGGAGAGGTGGGCACAGCCGCTGCTGGAGAAATCAAAGCAGGCGAGCGGTGACAATCCCACACTGTGTGCGTGTGTACCTGCCTCACGCTGAGCGTGCACGTGTAGTGCCCGTCCATGCCGCCCCCGGCTCCTAGGGCTATGGATGGTCTGAATGGGCATCACTAAACTCCTGCCTAGCTTGCCAAGCGGATTTGTGACTCCCGGATTTCTCCCCCTTTCTTTTTGCTTGCTGGTGTGTGTTTGGTTTTTTGTTGTTTGTTTCTTTTGTTTTACCTTCTTGAGCGAAAGAAAGCGCCCCGGTGAGCTGCTGCTCTCAGTCCTCATCCATTCCCCCATGACTGGTTGTTTGATCGCCAGCCACACAGATTCATGTCGATGGATTACAAATCCCGAAAGGAAAGTCTTGAGTACTTTGGCTGCAGCTGTGTGAGACACTGATCTATAGGTGCCAGATGTGCACTATAACCTAACCCACTCCTCCCCCAGGGCCTGATCCTGCATCCCATTGGACTCATCCTGGGCGCTCTGCTTGAGCGCAGGTTTTGGGCCCACGGTTCCACGATGTTAGCTGCAAATACTTTCCACTCTAATGACCAAAGAAGTGTCCGGGACCATCAGCAGAGATCTCTCGGCGCCCAGCGTCAGGCCCGGGCCTCCTTTGATACTGACTGCGTGCAAAGAGTGTTTGCGATTCCCCGAATCCTTGCGCGCTTGGCTAATGAAACTACATTCGCGTGTGGGTACATAGTCTCGTGTGTGTGTGTGTGTGTGTGTGTGTGTGTGCGTGCACCCGCAACCTACGGACCCGGAGCGTTCAGCAACGGCAGGAGAAGAGGTTTGGATGGTGTGTGAGATGAGAGAGACTCTAGCCCAGCCCCCGCTCTATGTATAGGTCCTTTCAACCACTTGCTCTCCCAGCCTCCTGGGCTATCGCGTTGTCGTGTAGCTCAAAGTCTCGGATATTAGCACGTATCTCCCACCACCTTATTTTGAACCGCGCTATTTATAATACGTTCACAATGCCAGATCACCGCAGAAATGTGTGTCTCTCTGTGTCTGGCTGTAGATGCGGGTGTGTAATATGGGCTGAGTTTGTGAGGTCCGGAGCACCAGCCGGAGACTGTTCCAAGTACAACCACACCCCCTCCAGTCCACCTCCCCCTTCCATTGCAAGCGCTAATTGCGGTCCTTCCCTTGCGCCTCTGTCCGTGGGTCCTGCCGAAGGCGCTGCTGCACCGGCGGACACGTCACGGGGCACATTTATCCCCTCCCCTCTCGCGGCGCTCCTCGCTTGCTCCAGCCTTCACCAAAGAATTAACTGAAGGTGCCACTCCAGAGCCGCTGGCTATTCCTGGAAAAGAGGAGGCGGAGGAGAAGGAGGAGGAAGACCTTAGTGTTTCGGTGCGTGGGAGCAGCACCGAAGTTAGGCTTTGGGAGAGTGGGGAATTTGCCTCCGATCGCTGCTGTGCGGTGCGCTTGGAGAATGCGGCTGTCAGCTCCTGGAAGGTGAAATAGCAAACCCTTATTTCTCCTGTAAGGTAGAGTCCTCGCTCTCGTCGCATGTCAGCGTGAACTAGCTCTCGCTTCGCATCGGCTTTTTATTTTTTCAATACGTGTCAAATAATAAAAATCTCTCTTTATAATATAAAAGCCTTTTTTTAACGAATTGCCTTGGCCAGCACTTGGACTTGTTTGGGTACTGACAGCCCTGAAGTGGCGCTGGCCTGGAGGAAAATGGATCCTTTAATGTAACTGTTTAGGAGAACCGGATTTAGAACACGGGCTGGAGCAGCGAAATCAGCTTGGCTGCTGCAGACCCTATTCCCCAAATCTCAGATGAGAGGTGAACGGGGCTTGTGCTAGGCAGAATTGAAGGCAAGTTCTGCACTAGTGGTCTAAAATACACACAGTTTGAGACACACGTGTACTGTGAAAGCATATTTCTCCAACACTGGTTACAAGACAAGCGGTCGCTCTCCTAGAAGGAAAAGCGAGCCTGTGGTTTTAGAGCAATCCCTCCTCACCGGCTTTGACTTTCATTTTATGCCTGGGCTGCCTTTCCAGCTTGTCTTCTCCTCTGCGCCTTGGGCTCTGGGACCAGATCCCTTTGCACTAGTTCATTAGAGGACAACCACCTTTTTTAAAAAAATTGCAGACTGTCTAGCACAATTATTTTCTGCTGAGCAGTTGCTTGAAGGCTTTGTTTTTCGGAGGGGGGAGAATTGCATAGAGCAGGAAATCATTCGCTAAACAAAGAAAAAAAAAGGGGGGATATGCTCTCTGTGAACGAGAAGATCCATTTCCAGCTGCAGCCACGGTCCTGGTTCATGTAGATCTTTCAGTCTCTACTTTCCAAGTGCGAGACATTTGCATTGCAGAGTCAGCCCAGAACTGCATTCTCCTGACCTGCTGCGGCTTGTGGCACAGAGGTGGTTTCCCACTCTCGCCCTTCTGATGCGTTGATTTTTGTTCTGTTTTTTACGAAGAAAATAGTATTAACGGTACAGTCAAAGTCCATGCTCGCAGCAGTCCGGAAGGATCGGGTCTAATATGCCAGTGTCACCCTCCTCATTGCCGTGCAAGAGCCGCGATGAAGGAAAAGTCCAAGAATGCTGCGAAGACTAGAAGGGAAAAAGAAAATGGAGAATTCTACGAACTGGCCAAGTTGCTGCCCCTGCCTTCAGCTATCACCTCCCAGCTGGACAAGGCCTCCATCATCCGCCTCACCACCAGCTACCTGAAAATGCGAGCGGTCTTCCCAGAAGGTAAATCCCTCGGCTGCTTCCGGGGCACCTGCTGCTTCTCGCAGGGCAGGAGCCTAAGGCAGGGGCTTTGCAGGGCGGCGGGGGGACGGGACAGCACACATTGGGTGCCGTCTCTTAGCAGTTACGACCGTCTGCGTTTCGAGGGTGCAAGGGGGGGCTGAATGAGCCGCGACAGCAGTTGAAACGGTGGCTGTCTGTCCTTGACTGTTTAGACATAGCCACCCCTCCCCACGCACACCCCAGGCCGTCTCTGTGAATTGTATTTCCGATTGTGACCTGTGCCCAAGGCGCTAAGCAGGCAGGGGGCCAGTCGCCACGGGTTCAGTCGTATTAATCAGGCTTATTTTAAAGCTTAAATAATACCCCAGAGTTTGGAACGGGAATATTTGTAGGTCGCGTTGTGCGGCGCTGAGCCCGACAGAACCGGGAGGAGGGAAAGAAGCAGAGCTCCAACCCCGGGCGATGAGGCTGCTCAGATCTTGGAGAAATGGTGCCAGGCAGCTGACTAAACACAAAGCAAGATCTGTGCGTGGTACATTCTGTGATTTTGTTTTCTTTCTTTCCCTGTGTGTGTGTGTGGGGGGGGGGGGAGGCGAGGTTAGATCTGCTTAAATGATTGTCCTAATTTAGGACGCGATAATAGAAAGTGTAGAGATCAGACCTAGGCAGAATGGGGGGAGGGGATCCAGCCTACAACTAGCAGGTCAGGCACTTCATTGGTGAGGCCTAGAACCAAGAATACCTTTGGATAACACTAGGGACAAGTTGGTGTTTTGTCTTCACTCGCTCACATTGGAGCAGAGTTGGGGGTGGGTCATGTGGAAAATAGGAGAGCACAAATTCACATGAAACTCACTTGCAAGAGGTAGGGACAGAGAACTCCCGTGAGAGGGGCACAGATATCTGAGAATAAATCTAACAAAAGGGACACCACAACAAGGGAACCTATTTCAAATATGTATGAATAATATAAATATAATATAATGAACATCAATAAACTTGCAGGTGTGACTTAAAAAAACAAACAAACCAAACATCACCTCCAACAGGCGCAGAGTGTATAAAAATTGCTACCATAAGAGCGAGACGTAACATTGAGCACACAGGACATGACTTGGGGCTTAGTTTCCGTTCCGCCACACACATTGTCTGCTCAATTGCAGCGCGCGCATTGTGCTAACAGCTTTAAAGCTTGGTCCCCTCTCCGAGATTATTTTGATTTCGCCTCTCTCTGTTCTTCAACGTACTTCGTGCAGCAGCCTGGGATGTGCTCTCAACCCCAAACAAACAGCAGCAGCGAAATGTCAGCGCGTCCCGAACGGATACATAGAACTGGTTGCGTTAGGTGGCCCGGCGCGAATAAACCCCTGGCATGGTGCATTGGTCTGGAGTCCACTTGTCAGCAGGGTGATATAATTAGTTACATAGCGCTGGGACATCTGCTAGAAGACCTCCCCCCTCCCCCCGCCGTTACTAATTGCATGGGAAATTGTTTTCATTCTCCTGGGGGGAGGTGTCCCCGGCGGGTGTTTGTTTCTGAAAACGCAGCATTTACCGAGCTGTATAAACGCTGCCCAGTCCACCTGCCTGCAGGGATCCAGCGCCCAGCACAGAGCTCAGCATTTCTAGCCTCGCCCTCGTCTTTTGCACCCACGCCAAACCCTTTAAACGTTGGAATTATTCGGCACAGCACGGGGCTGGCAGCGAAATTAGCTGTAAAAAAAGTGTCATAAAAATTCGCATCCGTAAGTAGACTAATAAACCCTCTTTTGTAAATGAGCGGCAGGTTAAAGATTTCATCTTTGGTTGTTAATGATCGTGCCCCGCTCCTGCAAGAGCCGGGGAGGACCCTGGCTCGGACCAAATCTCCAGTAGGACTTTTTCGCCAAGGGAGTCTTTGCTTGAGCCGGGGCTGTAGGACGCGCGGCCTTTTTCAATGAAATTGAAAATCTGCTGCGAAATGAGAGATCTGGGCAAAGATCGGAGTCCGAAGCAGTTATGGTCCCCTACTCCCACTGAGCAGCGCCTTCCTCCAGAGCGGGCGCCATTGGCTTCATGGGGATACGCGGGCCTATTCAGCTGGGATAAAGGGATCCAAATCTGGCCCTTTGGCTCTCGCGTGTGTGGAGACCCCAGTCTGCTCGACTCAACCTTGAACACCGTGTCCTTTAAAGGGAGAGCAAGCAATGGACATAAAATTTGAGATTTTCCCCTCAGATTTTTTTAAACCAAACACTTAATCCAAAAAATACCAACCCCCCCCCACACCCCTTCCAAACAAGTACACACTTCAAATGTTTCTTTCACTGAGCGGAAGTGGCCAATTGACATACATTGTGTGGGGCCGTTTGTAATATGTCATGTTGTATGACCACTAAACTGGATGAGAGAAATGAAATTAAATGCTGGATAAGATTCTCTAGGTGGTTAAATAAACCCAAATCTCCTCCTTTGTGATTTGTTTGGCCTGTCTGGACAGATGATGGGGGAGGAGAGGAACAATTAGCATTCCAGAATGAAAAGTCTGTTATTCATCTCAGTTTCTAAGGAGCTTATGAAAGGGTTACAAATGAAAAACGAGAAACGCTTTATCAGCTACGTCAATAATTATGAGCAATGATTACTTAGTGTTACCTAAAATCAATAATTTTGTTTAAACGAAAGGGTTCTATCAAACATATAAAATAAAGACATTTACCGTTCTAATAGTACTAAAACATCCCAGTGCTTTGGTATATTGCTAATGACTTTCGCAAATTTAAGTCATTATAAAAGTCCCGATTAAGAAATATCTTGTAGTAATTTCGGGAGGGTTTCCCAATTTTCGATCGCATCTTTCCCCCCCAAAAATAACTAAATTACATATTTAGAAATACATATGTTGAGATTTCTCTGGACAGGGTCATATTACAGGTTTCCCAGACAAAACTCTCCTGTTGAACAAACTGTGTCAACGAACTGCAGTTCACTTTTTAAGAACACTTAAAAACCAGAGGATGAAAGCCTTGCGAGTTTATATACCTAGGATGGCAGTGTCTTATGTGTAAATTCTCTTCAGACCAAATGACGGTGTGCTTCAGCACTCCCCATATGCTTATGAGTAATTTTAAAAATACATATGACAAACGTATTCTTTTGCCATAAATACTGCATAATTATAATGAAAACCATGAACACTGAGAATAGTATATGAAAGACGAAGTGAATAATTTACTCCTGTGTTTCTGAATATATTTTTTAAACTCATAGGGGGAGAGCTGTTGGAAAGTGATAACTAAATTATTTCAGCCATGTCCATTAATAAATTGGTTCAACTTTGGAAAGTTTCAAGCTGGGAGCTACGCTCTGCCAGACACTTGCGGGGAAGTGGTTGGGACATAATTCCTTTCACTATCAATAACTCCCTTCATAGTTGGGTATCTTTCCTCAGGAAAGAGCTGATGTTTCTGAATTTGTTTTTTATATAGGAAATTATAATGAACTTCTCCCTCTCTCCCTGATATTTTCCCAAATAGCATTATTTAGTGGCCTTAGTCAGCAGAATAGAAATACCTTCTTTTTAGAGTTAGCGTTACAGACAAGTGCAGTCTGGGATCAGTTCCCCAAAGTGAAACAGAGCCTGGAGAGCTATCATTTGTTGATCTCCGAAAGCGCCATCATGCATATTTTCTGCTATTCAATATTTTGCTGAGATCTTGGTTTTTTGAGAGGAATAGATGATGTGTCTGCAGTCAGTATTTTAAACTCTCTTGTAACAGAAAATTACTTCAAGGTTTTGCAGATGTCTAGTGACTCAGTGTGCCCATCAGAGATCATGTGTCTCCGAGACATAAATATTAGACACATGGCTACAAACTGTACTTGATGTGATTTTTTTCATCCGCGCTTGACAGACAACCAAGATACCTTTAGGGCCAAATCCGCATCCCATCAAAGTCCATGGGAATTTGCTGTTCACATCAATGGGAACAGAATTTGGCCCAGAGGAATATGTCCTGGCTAGAAACCAGCTTCCTTTTATTGTGCCAAAATTTCTAAAAGGTGAATCAAATCTAGAATAACCTATGTTGAGATATATAATTACGTTGTAAATACAAGAGGGAAAGTGCACTACACCACTTTCCGATGTGTGTAAACATCCACTTTTAGGACTGAATGATCATCTTCGTGACAACACGGAACCAGTTTTGTTTCTTTAAACTGGGGGAGGGGAGGGGAGGCGTGAGGGGAAGAGACGTCAGAAGTCTGCAACCTAGCTGCTAAACCATCGAATTTCTACTACATTTGATCAGAAATTATTGTCCAGCTATGAAACTTGCTGAGTAGGCCAGGAAAAGGGTGGGGTTTTAAAAGCCTCGGTAGCTAACGGTTTAAGAACGCCCTGGCACATAGCGTAGACAACTTTTAATACATTTTTAAAAGGTGTCCGCGGTTGTGGGGCATCCCTACGCTCCCCTAGGCTTTGGGGCTTGAGGCAATCCGAGTTCCCATCCAACCAGTTACTGTATGTTTAGAAGATGGACAGTTTAGTCTGGGCTCACAGAACGCCCCGCGGGAGGATCCGGAACAGGCCCACCGAAGTGAGCGTGAAAGGAGAGTTACATTCATTAAACCTCTTTTATTCTCCCAAAGTGCTAGTCTTGTAGGGTATAATTTCGTGCTTCAGTATGGTATCTTTTTTCCGTGTGGATTTGCTCTGACCTTCAAATTCTGAATTAAAATCCAGGAGACAGAAACATAGCGTATATCCCTACACCCAAGCTCTGTAACGTCATCCTCTGTCGCGTTTTGATACTTTGCCAAACCATTTATTACTGCAGAACAAAAATACACTAGGAGATATTTTTGGTGCTTGGCTGTCAATACGTTTTTCCACAAATGAACAAATAGAAGTGTGTGGGGGGAGGTGGGGGGGGGGGAACCTATTGTTGAGTTGAAATTATCCCATCCACCAGGTTATGGCGCTGAGGTTAAATTGTGACTCCACGCATTTTCAAGAA